TAGTTCTATAGCACACTTTAGAACCTTGTCTGAGGCTGACGTGACCATAATCTAACCGGCAGAGATCGTAGCCAGTGTGACACACGTTTACCAGACTAACCCAGGACCAGCTCAGTGGTGCGAGTGGGCGCTGCCCACGGTGGTGGGCGCCGTCAGTCCCGGGCCTCGGGTCCGTGGAGTCCCCGACTGGTGCATGAATTGGACAGCATAGGAATTCTGAACTCATGATCACTTGCTCCTTTTCTATTTGATTTTGTTAATGCAGGACTTACACATGAATCTTTGTTTTAAAGATGATTAGCAAAGTTGTGTCTCTGTGTGGCTCTTGAGAAAGCCTTCCTGCGCTGCAGCCTCGGCTCTGCCAGGGGAAGGCAGCAGCTGTGCACGCAGCTCTTGTGCGCAGGTGTATGTGTGTGTGTGTGTGCGCGTGCGTGTGTGCAGGCCCCCGTGCAAGGTACAGTAGCCTTGCTAGTTAAGTACTACTTCTTGCTCAGTTTATGCTGGAACTTTCTCTCCCCATGGAATGTAAGGAACACTTAAATGTTTGTCATCCACAAATGGTAATACTAAAAAAAAAATTTTGTTAATTTATTTTCAAATGCCACTACTGCTAGGTTGATCCCTTCCAACCCAGCCCTCTCCCTTTTTTAAAGGAAAAAATTTGTAATGCTTGTGATTCCGTCTGGGCAATTATCTGAGGATCTGAAATAACTTTATATCAAACTATTGATCAATAAACAGCTACTAATGAAGCTTTCGGGCCTGTGAGCAGTAATTAAAGAAGGGGCTAAGGGCGAGGGGCGGGAGGCACCTGCATCCTCACCTGACCATGAAGTTGCATGACCCAAGTGCTGCGGGTCAGGAAAAAGGCTGAGCGTGGAAAGGGGGAGATTTGCGAATGTTGTTTAGCGAGAAGGATGCTAGAGTTTGAGCGCTGGGCTTCTCGTTTAGCTGGCTTGTCAGGCTAGTGCTCTGCCTGAGCCACATTTCCAGTGTGGCTTTTTGCTGGATAGATAAGTCTTTGACTTTAAACCTGGGTCCTCTGGATTTCAGCTTAAGTAGCTGGGATTGCAGGCCTGAGCCACTAGTAGTACTTAGCTGGCATTTTATGCCTTAAAACAGTGGCATGGCTGTGTTAAGAGCACCTGCTTGGCAATCAGAAGGCTCTGAGTTCAAATCCCAGTACTGGAAGAAAAAAAGAACAGGGGCCACCGATTCCCATCCAGGAGGATGCTGCAGATTTGAGGGGAGCGGCGGCCGGAGGCACCCGTGCGGCCTGCACCAAGCACGTGAGGCCGCTGCCTTTGCAATCCGCTCGTGTCGTTTTCCTTAGCATCTGCAGACTCAGACATCACAAATGAGCCCTTCTTTACCTTATAACAACTTTTGCAGTGGTTGCACAGCTTCAGTTTTGCCGGGATTGCATGTGCGTTCTTGCCTTGTGTGTGTACCTGGCCTCTGTCCTTGAAACTTTACAATTCAGGGCGTGAACAGCCAGCCTTGCTCCTGAGCCCTCTGTTCTCAGCCTGCTGGAAGCAAGCACTGCCGCCTCCTTCCCTGTCCCAGTTCCTCATCCAGGTCACCATGACAGACATCAGACTGGGGCGGGGTGGGGAGGAAATGACACTTAACTGTGGAGCTCCTCTGGCTCCCTTAGTGGGTGTGCCATGCTTCCCTTGGCAACTCCACTGTCCACACTGCCAGCCATGAGCCTCTGTTGTCCATTAGCATTGGTTCCATGCTAGAGCTGTCATGGCTCCAGCTTTGCCTATTATTATTTTCTCCGTTTGGAGTTGCTCTTAATGTTTCTATGGGTGTTGGGGCGGGGGGAGGGGGCAGCGAGAGAACCCAGAGCCTTATCCAGGCTTGATAGGCTCTCCCCATGTGACAGCCTCAACCCTCTACTTCTATCTTCCAAGTTTTACAGAGTTCCAAACTAACATTCAGCAGCAATCCTGTTTCTTCTGCGCACCCCATCCTATGTATTTCACAGTGACCATCCCCCGCCACGCACCTGCCTTCCCTTCGCCGGGCCTCCCACAGGCTGCTTCAGCTTCTTGGAAGTAACTGTTAATTGTTTGAGTTACATCATACATTTTTTTTTTTTTGGAAGCACAATTTTTATGGCATCTCTAAACTACCTGTCTTTACCCAGGAAACTCCTGCTAACCAGATGTAGTAAAGCAGCTGCACTGTTTCTTCTGAGTTGAATGTGTGTTGTCTTCAGGTCTTCTAATCATTGTAATTAGGGAACGGCCTATTGCTGTACACCTGGACAGCTTGCCCAGCATCATTGTTGGAAGCTTGGTCCTGTCAACGGTGTGCACACCAGGGCTCAACTCCAGCTGCTCGTTGTTCCTGTTTGCCTTGTGGCCAGCCATCCTGTTAGTTCACTGTAGCTTTGTAGGTATGCTAGGAAATCTGAATAGGCCTTTTTCAAGGCTTTGACTATTCTAGATCTATATGCAGTTCATGAATTTTTGCATTTCTGCTAAATGATCATTAGTCCATTTTTTGAGCCGTGACTTGACTTTCAACATCCAGATACCTTGAGTTCATCTCATTCTCCTGAATTCAGTCACTTTCCCAGGGAGCCCTGGCTTCCAGCAGTGCAGCCGGCATTTCGAGCACCATCCGGGCTCAGGCCACCCACACCGCAGCCAGCAGGCGATGATGCTCCAGGTTCACCTCTGCTCATTTTATTGCCAACCCTAGACTCACCGCTTCATCTGAGAACTTCCACCCATGGCTGCGGGCTATGCAAGTGGAATGGCTACAGCTCTTTGAGATTTGAGACCGCTGATTCCAGGTTTCCCCTCTGCTCACTGTGCTGGGGAGCAGGGTGTGTGCTGCACTGTCACCTCCGTCTGGAGTGTAAGGAGGCTGCTAACACCTCCATCTGTTTTAAGGTCTTAAGGCCAGAATAACATACTTGAAATGTCCCAAATTCCTAGGCAGTTAATCACTGCTGGACTGGCAGCTACAGAAACTAGTAAGCTATCTTAACCCAGCCTTTAGAAAGTATTCACGTGTAGGTTGTGTGCATGCGTGTGCGTGATGCTAAGGGATCTTGAACTCCGAGTCTTGCAATCTAGATAGGCATTTTGGCACGTGAGCCACAGCTCCATTTCTGGCTTTTTTACTGGCTAACTGGTGGTAACAGTCTCAAAAGATTTGTCTTCTCTGGGTAAGCTTTGAACCTTGTCAGATCTCCATAGCTAGTATAGTATTACAGGCATGAACTGCTGGTACTTGACTGCAAATTCAGTTGTGTATATGTGTATGTGCGCGCATGTGTGTGTGTGTGTGTGCATAACTGCTGGTACTGGGGCTTGAATTCAGGGCCTGGATGCTGTCCCTGAGCTTTTTTTGCTTAGGGCTGGTACTCTTACCACCTGAACCACAGCGCTACTTCCAGCTTTTTGGTGGTTAACTAGAGGTAAGTCTCATGGACTCTTTTCTGATCTGGCTTTGAACCATGATCCTCTGCTATCTGCCTTCTGAGTAGCTACGATTACAGGTGTGAGCCACTGGCAACATTCCTTTCATAAGACATATATTAAGGTCTTTAATTAACAAAGCAGCACAACCATTTTCCTTGGTTCATTGGTACTCTGTATGTATAGGTATTTGGTATATTATAGAAAGCATATAACATAGGTTATAATTTGTCTATGATACACCAAGTAATAAAGCATAGTTTTTGTTTACTGAGTAAATGTTAATGTTCAAAAGCTTAAATGCTTAAGAGCAAAAAACCAAACTGTGTAACAAAAATGTGCCCAACTTTTAGAGGGGGGAAAAATAATGAACAAAAGTGTTTTGGGTTTTTTTGGGTCAATTGTGGAGCTTGAACCCTGGGCCTGGGCACTGTCCCTCAGCTCTTCAGCTCAAGGCTAGTGCTCTACTACTTGAGCCACAGTGCCACTTTTGGTTTCCTGGTGGTTTTACTATAGGATTTAAGTCTGATGATCTTCCCTACGCAGACTGGCTTTGAACCCTCATCCTCAGATCTCAGCCTCCTGAATAGCTAGGATTACAGGCATGAGCCATGCACGCCCAGCGAACCAGTGTTTAAAATTCGCCAGGATTATAAATGAATTTTAATTTAAGTGTTTTGTTTACTTCCCATATTTTCAAAGAAAAATACATTAAATTCCAAAGCAGCTTTCATTTTTAGTGCTTATTCTTGCATGTTCTCTGTTCTAAGTAATCTGCATGCATGATCTCACTTTATTCTTGCATGCACTTTGTAGGTGACTAGCACCCACATCTTACAAGAGTAATGTGGACAGATGTCATCTGCTGCAGAGTTGAAGCCCCAGGATTGGCACACAAAAAAAACCCCAAAACAAAAAACTAAAGATGTGTTTGCCAAGGTATAGTGGTTTCTGGCTATAATCCCAACACTCAGGAGGCTGAAGCAGGCTGAATTCTAGGCCAGTCTCTTAACAGACGTGCATGCTTGGCATCTACTTAACCAGCCCAAGCCGCTTAACTGCTCACCAGCAGCCCCAGCAAGCCAATGTCAAACCTGCTGAAACATTATGTGCTAACTGCCCTTCCACCAAGGACCACGTAAGGCAGAACAGTAATGTGTTGGTCAAAACCAACAGCATTTGCTGGCAAAGTCATGAAATGGCTCTGACAGAACTCTCCAGGCCCCACCCAGGGAAGAAGGGTGCTGCCAGCCTCAGCCCTGCAGGAGGAGGGACCCTAGGACTCAGCCACCACTACAGGGTGGTGCCCTCCCCCCTGCTACCGTCCTGGAGCCATCCTGCTACCCAGGAATGGCTACGAAGTTCTAGAAAATAAGCCCAATCCATATTAACTTCTGCATCCCCTTTGGAGGAAAAAAAAGACAGATTAATCTTGAGTTTTAAGTGATTTAGAAATTTGGATTTTTATGGAGTCCAGAGGGCGAAATAGATTGAAAGAAATTCTTCATTTTTATAAAAGTATCAGAGCACCAAAAACCTGTCCTTAGATGTTCTTAGATACATATTTTCGGCTTTGCTTTATTGCTAATTACAGACGTTCACTATGAAATGTGCACTGCTTGGCAAGATACACTTTTTTTTTTAAACTTTCTCACATTTCCAATAAAAACTTAAAGAAACAGACAAAACATACAAAGGACAAAAATACAAACCAGCAACAGCTTCAAACAAAAGGATTTAGTAACAGAAATTAGTCTCCACAGTCAGTGTCCGTCAAGAATGTAAAATTATCCAAACCGTGCAAATGCTCAACTCAAAACAGATGGCCCACACCGCACCGCTACTATGTGTCCCTCCACACTGCCAAGTCCCTGCTTACGCGATGACCACACCACTACCTCATTCGCTCAAGGCTCAGCTTATCAAAGCAGCATTCAATATCCTTACAAGAGGGAATCCGTGCCATGTCCAATGGAAAAACGTTTCAGTGCAGCTGAGCTCAGGCCTGCGCTCAATGAAGAGCGGTAAGTGGTCACAGCAGCATCACGTGGTGTCACAGAAGTGTCACAGCAGCGTCACACTGGCCGCCTGGAGGTACCCTTGAAGATACTGCAGCGCTTCCGCGTTCAGGCTGGTGCTCACCATAGAGGGAACCTGCAGGGAGCACAGGGACAGGTGCTGTGTTCCCCCTGCCCAGAGGCTTAGGTCCTCATAACCGTTCCCTGCCCCCTCCCCCCCCAAGCTGCCCTGGAGTAACAGGGTCGTGAGAGGCAAGCTGTCCCTCGTCACGGTCAAACACAGTATCAAGTAACTCAGCTGCTTTCACACCTTCAAGAACGGATAGGGCACTGGTGGCTCACGCCTGTCATCCTAACGCCTCAGGAGGCTGAGATCTGAGGACTGTGGTTCAAAGCCAGTCCAGACAGGACTTGGGAGACTCACCTCCAATTAACTACCAGGAAACCGGAAATGGCTCAGCAGCTCAAACTGGTAGAGCGCTAGCCTTAAGCAAAAGAGCTCAGGGACAGCGCCCAGGCTGAGTTCAAGCCTCATAACTGACCAAAAAAAAAAAAAAAAGGAGCTGGACACCAGTGGCTGGCTCATGCCTGTCATCCTAGCTACTCAGGAGGCTGAGATCTGAGGATCACAGTTCAAAGCCAGCCTGGGCAGGGAAGTCTGTGAGACTCCTATCTCCAATAAATCACCAGAAAACCAGAGATGGCACTGTGGCTTAAGCGGTAGAGTGCTCACCTTGAGCTGAAGAGCTGAGGGAAAGTGCCCAGGCGGAATTCAAGCACCATGACAGGCCCCCCCCCCCAAAAAACCAGTCTTAAGTGAGGTGCAGTGGATCAAGCCTGTGATCCTAGCTACTTAGGAAGTAGACACAGGGGACTGTAGTTTGAGACCAGCTCAGGAAAAATCATTTTCAAGGGGGAGCACTGAGAGGACTACAGTCTGAGCTGGTGTGGGCATAAAAAGCAAGTCTGTCTGCACAAGTGTGTGGGTGTGCTGCACCCCACAAGTGCAGTGCGGTGGACACGGCTTGCTGGCTGCACGCACGTGAAAATTCTCCGTAAGAAAACAAATTGACACTAACAAATTTTGGGGTGGGGAATGTGGCTCAGTGGCAGGGCACTTGCCTAGCATGCATGAAGCCCTGGACTCAATCCTCAGTACCACATAAGTAGAAAAAGCCGGAAGTGGCGCTATGGTTCAAGTAGTAGAGCGCTAGCCCCGAACAGAAGCAACTCAGGGACCGTGCCCCGAACAGAAGCAACTCAGGGACCGTGTCCAGGTCCTGAGTTCAAGCCCCAGGACTGGCCAAAAAAAAAAAAAAGATAAATTTTAACAGCTAATAAATAGAAGGACTGGCTGTGAATTGAAAATCCTTTGTACAAGCAGTTAAAACACAAAAAGAAGGTTCTGGGCTCAATGTAATTTGTCTACTGTTCAAGTGAGTCAGGTAAAATGTTATTTCTAGTACAAAATATGAGGGGGGAAAAAAAAGCTCAACCTTAAAGCCAGCTTTCTGTAGGGCTGGGAAGGTGGCTCAGTGGTAGAGCGCTTGCCTTGCATGCTTGAGGTCCTGGATTCGATTCCTCAGCACCACATAAGCAGAAGGAAAAAAAAAAGCCAGAAGTGGTGCTGTGGCTCAAGTGATAGAGCGCTAGCCTTGAGCTGAAGAGCCGAGTTCAGGCCCCACGACCAGACCCAAACAAAAAAGCCCAGCTTTCTGTGAAGTCAGTGGGATGCAGCATGCCAGAGTGACGATCAGAAGGTTGGTGGGCAACGTCCCGCTGCCTGCTCCCCAGTCTACCATCGGCAGACGGAGCATGACAGCCGAGCACTCACCCTTCCTGGACAGGCCGTGGACAACTTGTGCAGTGACTGTGCCAGGTGAATTTTGGGGTTGTTCACCATCTGGCCTACGGGGTCGTGCTCCTTCTTCCCAGCAAACGCCAGCTGTGAGAAGGCCGTCTGGTACCCAGGCGTGTCCTCTATGTCAATGAAGTGCTCTTCATCGGGAATGCTGTCATCCTCAGGTAACTCAAAAAGGCCGATGAGAGACTGTAATAAAGGAGTCCTGGATTGGAAGAAAGCGAGAGATTTAAAAAAAAAAAAAACCAGGAATTTCTCAAAACCACACTTGACTTCCAGAGCAGAAGGGACCGGGACTGAAGATGGCCACTGGAGCTTCTGCCTGCCCAGAGAACACCCAGCTCCTGACTCCAGCAATGCCTGCCACAGAGCCCGAGGAAGCGGGCCTCCCGCAAACGGATCATGCATGGAGCGGGTGTCGGTGTGGAGCCAAGAGGAGAAAGGAGAAACTCGGATGTGCGCATCTCCTGGCTCCCAGGTCCTCGATACACACCGTTCAGCTGGAGTGATCTTGGCGAAGACTGTCCTCCAACAGTCCGTGCTCTGAGTCAGCCCTCCCCCGGTAAGAACTGAAAACACGATTATCTTTCCAGGCCCAGAAGCAGAAGCTGCCTCTGGAGGTGAGGCTGAGAGCAGAGCGCCATGCCCCGCCCCCTGCAGCGGCAGGGAAGGAGCGAGCGGAGCACCTACCACAGCTTGGTGTACTCCGTGTCCATCATTGGGGGACACTCGGTGAGTAATTTGGTTATGCCAACCGCACAGATCTTTTTCTCCACATTTCCAGACACTTTCTGAATTTCAGGAATAATGATTTTTTCCAAAACCATTCCAAACATTCTATTAAAACAAGATGAATTCAATTAATATTAAACAGATTAAGTAGATATTATCTATTAAATAATAGGTATTTATAGTCAAGTGACTCCTGAATGGAATGTATTATTATATAAAAAGGCTGTTTCTTGGAAGTGGCGCTGTGGCTCAACTGGTATAGTGCTATCCTTGAGCTGATAGGGCTCAGGAACAGTGCCCAGGCCCAGAGTTCAAGCCCCATGACCAACCCCCTCCACCCCCCCTCCCAAAAAAGGCCTGAGATGACAAAGCAAGAAGGTTCTTCATAAACCTCTGTCGCCGTTGTCTTACCCACACCTCAGGTTACTGGAAATGTTTGCTTCAGGAGACTCTTCTTTTGGTAACACTAGCGTTTGAATTCAGGCCTTATGTTTGCTAGGCAGGAGCTGTATCACTTTTTTTGCTCCTTATTTTTTAGGTAGCATCTTGTGATTTGGTCAAGGTTGTCTGTGACTACAACCTCTACCATGCCCAGCCTGTTGTTGAAGGGGTACTACTCATTTTTTTGCCTGGACTAGCCTCAAACCATGATCTTCATCTCTGTATCTAGAGTAGATGGGATTATAGTTATGAGCCACCATGCCAGTTTTGATTCAGTAGACTGCATAGCTGCTTTGTGCATATGTATACACACGTGCACATGCATACACACATGTACACACGTGTGCACATATGCATATGGGCCAAGGTTCTACAGTTTTTAAAAAAACGATTAAAGAAATTCAATGCTTCTTTCCTTTCCCATTCAAATAAACTTATTCTTTACTTCATTAAATTTCATTAAACAAAACCCCTATTATCCCACCATCCAGGAATACACACAAGTATTTCTCGATTATAAACTTCCCATCCATCTTCACATGCATACCTGTAAGTAGTAAGCAAGTGCATTAATGCAACTGCTTCTTTAATTATTTGAAGATAAAACTATTCAGAAATGGTAGAAGCATGGCATTCAAATGGTAGGGTACTGGCCTGTCAAGTACAAGGCCCTGATTCAAAACTCGGTACCAGAAAATAGGAGAAAAAAACCTTATCCCATCCCTGTAGCTGCAAAGATCCTGTAAAATTTTTACAGTTATACATGATATAAAATCCTTAAGCTTTTTTTCTTGGGTTGGTTGTGGGGCTTGAACTCTGGGCCTGGGCACTGTCCCTCAGCTCTTCAGCTCAAGGCGAGCGCTCTACCACTTGAGCTACAGCGCCACTGCCGGTTTTCTGGTGGTTTATCGGAGATAGGAGTCTCACAGTCTTTCCTGCCCGGGCTGGCTTTGAACCGCGATCCTCAGATCTCAGCCTCTTGAGTAGCTAGGGTTACAGGTGTGAGCCACCAGCGCCTGGCTAAATCCTTAAGCTTTTATCTTTCAATAAATCCTGTGAAATGTAGAAAGTACATCCAAGCCACATTTATTTTCCTCTTCTGGCCAGAATTTTGCTCTTTAGAAATGGTGCCAATTTAGACTCCACTGGCAGGGGCTATGAGTCTTCTCTACGTCTAAGAACTCTACAATCTGGTATTTTCTGGTTAATTCTTTTTTTTTTTTAATTTGTCGGTCATGGGGCCTGAACTCTGGGCCTGGGCACTGTCCCTCAGCTCTTCAGCTCAAGAGCTCTACCACTTGAGCCATAGCACCACTTCTGGTTTTTTCTGCTGAGGAATTGAACCAAGGGCCTCATGCATGCGAGGCAAGCACTCTAGCACTGAGCCAACTTCCCAGTGCCGCCCTTCCCCCCCCCCCATTAGTTCTTACTTTAGCTAATCTGGAATGTTTGGGGACATTATTCAGAAATAGGACTTTATCTTTCCCTAAAGAATTTTTCCTTAGGAGGTGTCCTACCTTCCCCTGCTAACAGATGGTACCACATGGCCGTTGTGCATACACTTGGGTAAATCAAAAGCAAAGCTTTACTGGTCCCCAAGTATCTCATTTGGAGAGACACTTTCTGCTGGCCTATCAAGGCAGGCTCATGGAGAACACAATGGGCTGCCTGCCATGCCACAGTGCACACTGGCTGTGGAGGGAAGGTAGAGTGGGCTAGCTTTGGGAGCTGGGAAAACGATCATGATCACAGGATCTTGCTTTTACAACTCACACCTAAAAACAGTCCCCAAACTATACAGATACTCCCCTCAAGATAGAACCATGAAATCACCTGTAAGACCGCTGATCTACTAAACCAACAAACAAAAGATCTTCCTTTTAAAAATAAAATGCAACAATTTAAAAGTATTTTAAAATACCTTTGCTTTTAAAAACAAAAACAAAAAACAAACTTACTTTGGTTGTATACCATCAAATATTTCTTGTAAGGCTAGTGCCCCGTATCTTATGCAATACAAATTAATGAAGACTAAGAAACCTGTTGAAAGATGCAGAATGTCAAGAGAATGAATTGACCTCACCGAGAACTACTGTTCCTGCTCTGGCGTCATACCTGCCGCCTTCTGAGAAAACAAGCACACAGAATTTGCCCTCATATTGTAGACCTTTATACATGAGCTGAATTGTATCGCTATTATATGCCTTTCTTCTTTTTCTTTTGCCAGTCCTGGGGTTTGAACTCAGCCTGGGCACTGTCACTGAGTTTCTTCTGCTCAAGCAACTTGAGCCACAGCACCACTGCTGGCTTTTTGTGTTCATGTGGTACTGATGAATCAAACCCAGGGTTTCATGTATGCGAGGCACGCACTCTATCACGAGGCCACATTCCCAGCCATCACGCCTTTCTTTTGCGTGCAGATCCTGGGGGTTGAACTCAGCACCTTGACACTATCCCTCAGCTTTCTGTGCCTGCTCTAGCACGACTGCTTGAGCCACTGCTCCCCCTTGGACTTTTTGGTGATTAACTGGAGATAGAGAGTCTCAGACTTTCGTGTCTGGGCTGGCTTCAAACCATGACCCTTAGATCTCAGTTTCTTAAGAAGGATTACAGGTATGAGCCACCCAGTAGTCCTCTCTCTCTTTTTTTTGCCAGTCCTGGCACCTGAACTGAGGAATCAAACCCAGGGCTTTATGCATGCTAGGCAATAATTCTACCACCAAGCCACATTCCCAGACCCTCATTATTTCTTTTGAAATTAAATAGACACACCAACCAACCCTGCGGACACATTACATTAGAAACTAATTTATTATTTGAGACCACAAACATCTAAAAGTATTTTAGATACCTTTCTAACATTTATAACTGATAAAAACTTTATCTGTAAATGAAGTCTAGGGGTTTAGCTTTCCTTCTTTATTGCTATGAAAACAGTGATTTACTTACTCTTGATAAACTTTGTGGTTTTGGAATTCTGAAGTCTTTGGAAGAGCAGAATGAAGATTTGTTTCCTGTACTGATCAACTGATTCACTAAAGAATTGAAGAAAAGCAACAATATAAATTCAGTACTTATTCACTTTGTGAATGCCTGTTTCAATGTACAAGGTTGTGTGAGACTCACGGTGGCATGTGCTCTATTATACTGTTGAGAAGATAAAAGCCTTGGTGGTCATTTGCTTTGGATGCTATCAACTTCTGGAAGACACCCAGTAATCCGGGCTACAACAAACCACAGCAGATAATCAAGTTAGGGAAGCCAAACTCACCCTCCCAAGCTCAACAGACATAATCAATCTGTCCTGAAAAATGATCCACAATAATAATAGCCTCTATCTTTAGTCTTATATGAAATATGGGAGGCTGGACAGAGTCGCAATAAGCCACTCAAGTTCGTAAAATTGAACTATGTGGTTGTTACTTCCATTTCTACCATAGACAAATGGTAACTTCTAAAGGATGGAGTGACACCCTAGGGGGTGAGGCTGATCAGGAAACTTCACATGGGTGGAAATGTCACAGTAAGCCTTGCCCCCAACATGCATGACTCATGTATGCTAATAAAAATAAGTAAATACGAACTAAAGGCTATGCAAACACGCTGGGCACTGGTGGCTCACGCCTGTAATCCTAGCTACTCAGGAGGCTGAGATCTGAGGATCACGGTTCAAAGCCAGCCAGGGCAGGAAAGTCTGTGAGACTCTTATCTCCAATAAAACCACTAGAAAAGTGGAAGTGGCTCTGTGGTTCAAGCGGTAGAGCGCTCACCTTGAGCTGAAGAGCGCAGGGACAGCGCCCAGCCCAGAGTTCATGCCCCACGACTGACCCCCCCTCTTCCCCCCAAAAAAGCTATGCAATTCAAATACTTCCTCCCAGACACCTCCTTTTTTTCTGTTGGTCTTGGGTCTTAAACTCTGGCCTGGGCGCTGTCCCTGAGCTCTTCAGCTCAAAGTGAGTGCTCTACCACTTGAGCCATAGCACCACTTTTGGTTTTCTGGTGGTTAATTGGAGATAAGAGTGTAATGGATTTTCCTGCCCGGGCTGGCTTTGAATTGTGGTCCTCAGATCTCAGCCTCCTGAGTAGCTAGGATTACAGGTGTGAGCCACCAGCACCTGGCTGAATTTGATTATTTTAAGTGGAGGGAAAAAACTGCAATTTTCTATTCCTAGTTACTTCCAAAGAAGCCAGACTCACAATTTTGTCGGCTGCAGCGCTTGCTATTGTATTGGACCCGCGCTCTAAGAATGCCTGCAGGAGCCTCACAAGAGCTGGGATGTTCCCTGTTCTTTCCCAGAGAACAGGCTGGAGGAGGTGAGGAAATAAGGCCATGTAGGAGGATGGGATGTCATTCTTGTGTGTTTCCAGAAGCAGAGACATCACTTGAAAGACGTATGGGACGAATTCTGTTGACACAGGCAACAACAGAGCAGCTCTGAGTTGAGCTGCGCTGAGCAGAGCACTGCAGACCCCCCGCAGTTCCATCCCTGTGCTGGGAAGGCAACTTTGGTGCTTACCTTGCACATCATTCTGCAAGATTTCAGTGAACACCAGAAACAAAGCTTCCTCGAAGTTCACAACAGCAGCAGGGTTAGCTTTGCAGGTTATTCTTATGGACAAGCAAATCGCCTCAAACATGTAATGGTTAAAGTGTGGTTTGCTTGGATTCTGAAATTTAAAACAAAGCCACTAACTATTCTGATAATTTCAGTGACTACAACATATCTAAACCAAAACACACCTCTCTAGAACACACTTAAAGTAGATATCTATTTTGCAATGAGGCAATGAGGGGGAAAGCATCAAAACCAGTGAACTAGTAGTCTGTTTAATACCCATCCTCCAAGCACAGGGAACTCCATTTGATTTTTTTTTGCCAGTCCTGGGGCTTGAACTCAGCCTGAGTGCTACCACTGAGATTCTTTTTCTCAAGCTCTACCACTTAAGCCACTGTGCCACTTCTAGCTTTTTCTGAGTGGTTTATTGGAGATCAGAGTCTCATAAACTTTCCTGCCTAAGCTGGCTTCAAACTGCAACCCTCAGACCTCAGCATAAACTTTCCTGCCTAAGCTAGTTTCAAACTGCAACCCTCAGACCTCAGCCTCCTGAGTAGCTGGAACTACAGGTGTGAGCCACCAGTGCCTGGCTTATTTGAAATTTGTAAATTTTACACAAGCTTCATCTCCCAGAGCTGTACAATGTATTTTTGCCCTACGGGCTCTCAGCCAGCCAGCACTGTAGGCAGTGCCAGGAGAACGTGCTGGAGTCAGGCACGGCCCCCTCCAGAGCGGAAATTGTATGTAGTAAGTGAAAAGCAAGCACACCTTCCAAGTCAGCCCTTACCTTACTAACAGCTAAGAGCTTCTGTGTAAGCTGAGAGATGAGGGTAGGGATGTAGGGGATTATGGCTTCTTGCAGGAGGGAAAAACTTCTCATGATAGCTATAAAATACAAAAACAGTACAAACAGCATTTGGTAAACTTTACAAAGAAACAGTGACTAGAGACAAAACATACTGATCAAATACAATTTAACGATGCTTAAATAACTTCAATTTAGAAATAACCTCAATTTCCCTTCTGTCTAAAATCAGGAGAGGGGTTAGCAACAAAATTTCACTGGCAAACACCGTGTGCTTCTAGATGGCCCAAGGCTTATGGAATTTATAAAGAGCCAATGACAAACAAGCAGAGTAGACTAGGGAGCAAATGGGAGAGGTGAACTGACAAGGTTGAGCAGCAGAGAGGGACATGTCTCAGGGCTTTCTCGCAAAAATCATAGGCAGAAAATGGTTAGCCTTGGTCTAAAAGAAACAATCTCAATCTATAGGAAACTGAAGAAGAATGTCAACTACTCATTTTCCCCCACATTAAGCACCCAAGAAAAAATTTTTAAAGTAAAGTCACCTATTGTAAAAAACACTTTATTTAGTACCTAGAAATATCTGGCAAGAGAAATCTATTTGCAAGCGAAATGGAGGATGGTTTTCTTTCCACAATCCCAGAACGAGTGCTGACTAAGCAGAACACCAAGCTTAGTGAATGTGCGCCGTTCTCTTCCCTCTCAGGAGCTAAACTCCCACTTACCTTTCCATACACTGCTAGAGAAACCCTTCCCTGACCCGGGCCCAGGCTAGGAGGGATGGAGGATGAGTTAGTCCAACCATGTTCTTTCATGCACACGGTATTACAGAGAATGACACTGTGCCTTCTTGGGTACCCTAGGAACCACAGACTTGCTGGCTGCCCTGTGTTGTGGGAAAGCCACCCGCACACCCCAGTACACGCATGTGTCTCACACCCTAGGGGTGTATTTCTCGCCACCCAGACACTCCTCTAGGCTTTTGGGATGCGAGACGGCTCTTGGACTGAGCAACAGGAACTTACTAACACAGCACCTGGCAAATGACCCCAACGGCAGGTAAGCAGGTGGAGTCAACCACATGCTCCACACTTTTCCACACCTCAGAGCAGCAGTCAACATTTTTGTATGATTTAATCTCCATTCTCAGGAAAGGAAAAAAATGAGTGTGCTACAGTTTCTGTAACAAGGGTTCTGTAGCAAGCTAACACAAAACATTTCAGAGAACAAGCAATACATAAACCATAACTTTTCACTTAAAAATAACAAAACCTATGCAATTCTTGACAAACAACATTTGGTTCGTGAACTACACACCTGAAATACAACTGGAGAGTATTTAGCCTCTGTAACCTGAGGTTAGACACTTGGTTATGATCTGTTCACCAGGGAAACGGCCTACCTTTCATAATATATTCATTTTCTGAAGAGCCAGGAAGTGTGAGAGCTTTGAAAAGGTTTGTTAGCAGAATCTCAACAAACGGTGCGATTTCTGCAGCTGTAAAACTATAGATGAAAAAACAGCTTTCAGTCACTACCGCCTGAGCTTGCCCCTGCGGAATACCCTGGCCACTACCAATCACACTTCTTGGCGTGAAACAAGCCATCTCCCACCACCGACAGCTGGCACAGAGCTTAGGAAAGTCACTGTTTGCATGTGCTCATGTTAAGCTCCTAGTCAGGTGAACAAAACCCAGGTGAACCCAACATCACCAAGACTGCAGAGGTTCTCCTTGGTTCTCAGGTGTCACCAACAAGGGCCCCAGCTTCAGGATCTCCGCCATCTACTTTTCCCGTAGGCAACATATTCTCAGCCTCAACATAGGTCCTGGCTGAACTCAGCTCAAAGGATGTCCTTTCAGCCCCTAAGTGCCTATGCGAATTCTGTGCTTTAAGTTCTTGGTGAAGAAAGAACCTAGAACTGTTTTCTGTTTCATACTCAGAGCCCAGTTTCCAGAACTAACTCTGTGAAGAACAGCCTGAGAAACACACAGACCCCCACTGCACACTTCAGTCACGTGCTGGGCTCGGCCAGAGAATTTCTATCAGCGGTGTGACATTTAAGAGTATGGAGAGGACATGGCTCCATGGGAAAATGGCAGCTGCAGTCTTGCTGAGAATCTGACCTCTGTTTTAATCGCCACCTCATGAATGCCGGGATCCCCCCGTTTTGACAGCTAGAAAACTCCAAATAAAACAAGCCATTTCTTTACAGGACCACTGACACACAGCTCTATTTACTCATCTTACAAGTGTCTATTTTGGCAACCTGCTTCAAGTTCTTTTGGAATGAAAATACAAATGAATGAAGTATACATTTGCTTTTTTTAACTAATGCTGAAAATTTGAAAAATCCAGAGAAATCTGACAGTGAAGTATACCCCTCATCCCAAGCTATATGTCCCAGAAATTGCTTACAATCAAACACTTACAGAGTGGCATTGTTAGGCCCTCTCATGGTAAACAGCCTTTCCAGTGCATGTGCTGCATATGTATGAACGACAATACTTTCTGCTTGAAGATGATTAATTAAGAGAGGAATAGAGACTAAAAGATGCTCTTTTGGTACCTGAAAAATACAATAATGTACATGTTCTAAATAAAAGACAGTCAGAAGAGATGGTGTGTGATTTTTTTTTTTAGTCAGTTGGGGGGCTTGAACTCTGGGCTTGGGCACTGTCTCTCAGCATCTTCAGCTCAAGGCCAGAGCTCTAATGCTTGACCCACAGTGCCACTTCCAGTTTTCTAGTGGTTTACTGGAGATAAGAGTCTCAGACTTTCCTGCTCGGGTTGGCTTTGAACCATGATCCTCAGATCTCAGCCTCCTGATTAACTAGGATTATAGGCGTTAGCCACCAGCACCCAGCAGTATGTTGATTTTTAACACATCTTCTTTTTCCAGTTGTTATAACAGTAGATAATATTGATAGGCAATCAAAACTTCCATCTTCAATTAATCCATTCCCACCGACTTTTCTAATTCTTCTGATCATAACACTATGAGCAGGGGAAAATCTTACGGACATGTGAACAGACCATAAAATTTTATGAAGCAGAAAGAATTTATCAATCAAAGTTTGTACAGTTCACAACCTTTATAAACCATGATAATGACAATTCACCTTGTGATGGTTAAAATGTGTTTGTGACTTTAGCTAAGTATCCCACAATATTGTGAAGTTTATGTATTCACTTAATCTAAATAAAGAAATTTTAAAAAGAATCATACTTTTGATAAATTTAAGTTATTTTAAGCATTTTTAACTATATTTACCTAATGGGATAATATTCTAAGAATATAGACCACAAACAAAGGCATATTTAGTGATATTAGAATATTGCTATTTTGAAACTATGTACATCTATCTTACTATAAATCAAGTAAGTTATACATTATAAACACATTTAAAAAAAGTAAAGCAAGCCAAGTGCTGGTGGCTCACCTGTAGTCCTAGCTACTCAGAAACTGAGATATAAGGATCCTAGTTTGAAGTCAGCGTCTGTGAGACTCTTTTTATTTTTTTTATTTTTTTGTCGGTCGTGGGGCTTGAACTCTGGGCCTGGGCGCTGTCCCTCAGCTCTTCAGCTCAAGGCGAGCTCTCTACCACTTGAGCTACAGCGCCACTTCCGGTTTTCTGGTGCTTTTATTGGAGATAGGAGTCTCACAGTCTCTCCTGCCCGGGCTGGCTTTGAACCGCAATCCTCAGATCTCAGCCTCCTGAGTAGCTAGGATTACAGGCGTGAGCCACCAGTGCCCGGCTGTCTGTGAGACTCTTATCTTTAATTAGTCAACAAAAAGCCAAATGTGGAGCTTTGGCTCAAGTAGTAGAACACTAACCTTGAGCAAAAAAGCTTAAGGGCAGCACCCTGGCCCTGAGTTCAAGCCTCAGGACTAACACAAAAATAGTTCGGCAGTGGTAGCTCACATCTATAACCCTAGCACTCAAGAGGGCTGAGATCTGAGGATCAAGGTTTGAAGCCAGCCCAGGTAAGAAGTCTATGCAAGTCTTGTCTCTAATTAATCATCAAAATTCCAGAAGGAGAGCTAGGGCTCAAGTGGTAGAGTGCCAGACCTGAACAAAAAAGCTAAGGCACAACACCCACAACATCCCCCTACTCATAATAATAATTGAAAGCTTTGGTCAACTGAGTAAGTTAAACTATTGTATCAAGGCCAATTTCCTGGGTGGGATCCTGTCCCAACCCACTCAGTACCAGCATCAAAAAAAAAAAAAAAAAGTTAAACAAAAGCCAGCACAGTAGGGGAAGAACCTAAAGGTATAATGATAGCCTCTGATCATGTAAAATAATAATAAAATGAGGGCAGGGGGAGGAGTTGATTTGGTGGCATATATCTATAAATCCCAGCACTAGGAGGTTAAGGCAGGAAGTTTCAAAAGTTTGAGGCCAGCCTAAACTATGTAGCAAGATGTCTATGAAGAAAAGAAAAATCCTTAACAGTATTCAAGTGAATTGGGAATTATTTGATTTTCTTCTAAATACATTTCCTAGTTCTGCCAATGAAAAAGCATAGAGCCAATAACCACCACTGGTGAGATCCCTAGCACCCAGATAATGGGCTTCAAATAAACTGGCCCAAGCCTCATCAGGCCTCCAGCTCTGGCAATGTGTAAAGAAATAACTTCTATGAGGCCAAAAGTAGAATAAAACCCTCCAATGATTTCTGTGATGAGCAACACACAGTGGTAGAGGAAACATCTTTCCTGTAAAACAGGCAACTGAAAACATAATCAACCACCAGCAATATGTAGCTGCTTGGGTGCAAACCTTCAATGAAGGTTCAATGAAGAAGACACAAAACACAGTGTTTGCTTACTGTGTGAAATCTGGGATTTAATTTTCCAGCCTGACAAAATCAGAAACCTAATACAATGTTTTTATAAGATGTGATATCTGAGCTAGCTGCACAGTGGATTGGTGGAGAAGCTGTGCAGACCGAACTCCTAAGTGCCCTAAAACAAGTAAAAAGCCACTTACTTGGTTCCTAAAAATCATAATGTATTTGATGCCATCAGCTTTAAGCACAGGAAATTCATTCACTATTCAAAAGAAAAAATCATAGTTACTTAAGTGGTTAAAACTGTTACTACCAACATTTTCAGAGATTTAAATAGTAACCAAAATGTCAAGTAATCAAAGTGTAATTGACTTGTACCATGTTGTAATATGTTCCCAGAACTGAAGCCACTCTATATTGAAGCAATTTAAATTAAGACCACTCTCCTTAAGCAGTAGCAGGAAAATACACGGAGCACCCACTAACTGTTAATGGTTCTCAGCAGGCGCTGGTAGCTCCCACCTGTAATCCTAGCTACTCAGGAAGCTAAGATCTAAGCCAGCCTGGGCAACAAAGTCAGTGAGATTCTTATCTCCAATTAACCCTAGAGGACCAGATGTGGCTCAAAGTGGTAGATAGCTAGCTTTGAAAAAGCTCAGGGACAGTGCTCAGGCCCTGAGTTCAAACCCTGTGACTGACAAAAAAAACTTGAACTGAAAGAAAGCTCCTTACATTACCCACTTATGAGTATATATAAAATTTTCATACCAAGTTTTTGTTTTACAAAAGAAGTATCTTAATCTAGATGAACAGTGTCATAAACAGAAAATGGTTCTTTGTCAGGTTTTAAGTACTTTGAAATATCCTTCAATTTTTTTTCAAATACAAAGATTAATTTGGTCTATTATTCTTATACTTTATATAAGGAACACATTTAAAATGTCTTCTGCTGGGTGTCGGTGGCTCAAACCTGTTATCCTGGCTACTCAGAAGGCTGAGATCTGAGGACTGCAGTTCAAAACCAGCCCAAGGAGGAAAGTCCCAGTGAGACTCTTATCTCTTAGCCATCAGAAAACCAGAAGTGGTGCTGTGGCTCAAGTGGTAGAGGCTTACCTTGGGCTAAAGAGTGCAGGGACAGTGCCCTGCAGTTCAAGTCCCAGAAAGGGACCAGGGGTGGGGGTAGGGGGAATCTTCTTTTGCTTTTTTTTTTTTTTGTGGCACTGGTGATTGATTTAGGGCCTCATGTTTGCTGAGCAGGTTCTCTACCATTTAAATCATGCCCTCAGCCCTCTGTTTTGCCTTTTTTGTCAGTTGTGGAGCTTGAACTCAGGGCCTGGACATTCTTTCTGGAGCTCTTTCACTCAAGGCTAGTGCTGTAACACTTGGAGCCACAGTGCTACTTCCAGTTTTCTGGTGGTTAATTCCTGCCCAGGCTGGCTTTGAACCGTGATCCTCAGATCTCAACCTCCAGAGTAGCTAGGATTACAGGAGTGAGCCACTGGCAACGGACTTGCCTCGTCTTTTTTTTTTTTTTTTTGGTCGTGGGGCTTGAACTCTGGGCCTGGGCGCTGTCCCTCAGCTCTTCAGCTCAAGGCTAGCGCTCTACCACTTGAGCTACAGCGCCACTTCCGG